GACTGTTACTTACGGAGATGAAGTTTGTAAAACGAACTGAACGCAAGTTTTGTAATTATCTGTACTAACTTCAACCTCAAAACTTAATGTTGTATTAACCCGACTTGAAAAACTTAAATTTACCAGATATTAAAAAGTCACAACTTTATTTTACAGTTACAATGTTTATAAAAGCTATAGAAATTTCAAAAATAAAATTGCTGAACGACTATTTACTTAGAAAAAGACATTTTTAATACTTATTAGAAGTAGAAGTAAATCTGTTAGTATGCAACTCTCTTAAACAAGTAGGTAATTTTAAGTGACAAATTATAATAAGTGCCTGGATTTTTTTAGATTACAGTGGCCTGTGTTTTTAATTGAAATTACTTTTTTTATCTACTGTTTATATTTCCCTTTGACACAAGAAATTTTGGTAGCTGAGTACAAAATACACGACGATAAAGATTGTTTATCAACTAGTGAAAAAAGGCCACTAGTGCTTCGTCACTCGTAAACTTAACCTTTTCTCTCGAAGATAAAGAATTTCTTTATCGTCTAGTATAATAAATAACTATGAATACAAAACATACTACATATTTATCAGATGAAAATATAATGAATAAATGTAATTTAAACAATTAAAAAAGCACTCAATAGACAAAATAGTATAAAAAACACGTGTTTGTAACACTTGTTTTTCAATAAACTAATTATCTACATTTTGCATTATACAGGGTCGCCAGAACTCGTGCCCCAGAGAAAAATTTCAAGTAAGACAAGATACCAGGAACATGAAAAAAATGTTTAAAAAATTCTTTGGCAAAAAATTTTGACATTTATTTTTTGACATTTGACATTTTTTCATGTCTATTTAATGACACTGATGTACTGTATATGTTTTTTTTATAATTATTTAGTAAAAACAACATTAAACAGAGTTACAATTTAGAATACAGTTTCCTAGTTTCCTCTTCTATTAGCTTGTAGCAAAAAAAACTTGAAAAATTATTTTTCCAACAGAAATAGAGTCAAAGTGAAAAATATAACCTGTCATAACTTCTAAATTTTTATAAATATATTTTTTTTAATAATTTTTCGATGTTCATGGTATCTTTCCTTACATTTTTCTCTGGGGCGCGAGTTCTGGCGCACCCTGTATTTAATGCTAAACATTATAGTAAATAAGTGAGATAAGTCAACTTTGAAATGGTCTTTAACTCTATTTTATTGACAAGTTGGTATTTCTTAATTTTAATAATATAAAAATTACCAACGTTAAGAGACACTATGTGAAAACAAAATATCAGTTGACAAATAAAATATTTATAATTATCGATTTTTTAATTATCGTTTAAAGGAAGACCGCAGGGTGCAAAATGGGTTTGAAAGCATTACTCTGTAATAACAATTTTGCTTCCTGTATCAAGTTATAATTCAAAATTTACTCTTGTATTTACACAACTTTAAAAACTTAAAAGTACCAGATCTTCGAAATTTAGTGATTCAGTATGTCAATCGTGATAAATTGTTTTCACGACTGTAAACTAGACTTTGGTTTTTAATACAGTGCGACCAAAAAAAGTTTATTTATCAAGCAAGCCTAGAAATTTAAAACGTGTCTGCGGAATAAAATAAAATGTCACAATCGTAAATAAGAAATGTCAAAATAATTTTTCGTAAACTGTAACAACAAATCGTGGTGAACGATTTGTATGAATAAACTCCAACTACATCTTATTTTAGGGTAGTTTTAGGCGTTTCATACAGTAATTCAATTTGTTTAGATCAATATTTTAATTTTTATAAAATAACTTTTTAACATCTAGCTGACATACAAACTTCCAAGCGACATTTTGTAAATTTTTGTAATTTTTATCCTGATAGTTATAGAAAAAATGATAACAAATCAAATTAATTTATTAAAATTATATAAAAACACGTATTGCTGGCATTATTTGCATTATTTTCGGAAAATCGACGCCAAATATAAATTTTAACTAAAACTTTCAAATTTTAGTTTCAAACGTCAATCATGACATTACCCAAAAACCAAAAAGTGTAGAATTTTTAAACAAGTTGAAAATTGTGTATAAGGTGTTCTAGCAAGTTGGTAAAGTACATTATTCGAGGAGATATAAACTTAATTTAATTAGATACCTAAGATGTGGCCCAAAGAAAATTACAATTGATGATTTGTTTATAAATTAGTAAAAACTAAGTAAGTATCGAGAGGTCAAGATAATTTGTCCTTGTATCCGAAAACGTATGTCCTGTGCGTATGTTTGTGAAACGTCAAATAAAATGACAAGTGGAAAGGTAAAATCCCATGATCATACCTTCAAAAAAGTACGGTCTTATTATTATACGTCGGCGACTAATTACAGCCCATTTTGCCGTTTTCGACTTGTCATTTTATTTGATGTTTCACGTGCAGTTAGTTCAAAAACAGACATACGTACAGTTGCGGCAGCAATACCTATTTTTCTGTCACTTTAAAAAGTTCACTGTAAACTACCTTTTACTGTCATCATGACTGACATTTGACAATTAAACTTATTTTTATTTGTTGTTAAATTTGTTAATTAAACAATTTGTCGGTCTTAGGAAATTTATTAATGAAACTAAGTGTAATTAAATCATCGTTTTGATCTGCTGACTACCCGTTATTATGCCACAAATCACTATTTTTGAAAGTAAATAACTCAAAATGACATAAATATGACAAGAGTAAAAATGAGGTTATTAATAATATAAAGGTTGTTTTAGTTTACATTATAAAAATGACAGTACTGCCCGAAATTTTAATTCCGCAACTGTACGTTTTCGGATCCAAAAATGACTCGATTACAAATTTTTTTGATCTCTGGGTATATGTATGATTTGTATTAATAAGTGTGATTTAAAAAGAATTCTCATGTTTTTATTTAAAAAAACTTTAGGTCATATTAAAATTTAAATATAAAAAATTGAAGCTTATGGTGGCAAGTTTGGGGGGGCCCTGGCCCCCTCCCTTGTATCCAAAATTCCGTGTCCGCCAGTATATGTCCTCAACTAGTACGCCAACTTAGAAAGACTTTTTCAAAAGAAAAATTGTAACAATACGTAAATGTGAAGAAACACCATCGACAATAATTTTTTTTTCAAGTAAAATAAATTTGCCCGTCAACTGATAAACAAGCAATTCTCGTAAAAACGTATCATAATAAACATTTTGTTTACTTTCCTGCCTCAATTCGAAATGATTTACGCCGCGCTTCCTCAACTCAAAAATGCGTCAAGAAATCAAAATGTCATAAACGTCAAAAAAAAAAATGCCGATCGTCCCGCTTGCTAACAAACAAGACTCACCGTTAAACTCATAACTTCGAAATTTTTATAGATACAATTTTTTTAACATTTTTTTATGCCATATGGCATTTTTCTCTAGAGCGCGAGTTCTAGCGCACCCTGTATACCTAGACGAAAATTCTTGTAATTCATTTTAAATATGTAGTTTATATTTACTGAATAAGATTTATAGAAACCAAAAGTAATTTTTATATTTAAACGCTAAACATTTTTGTAAATAAGTGATAAGTCGACTTTGAAATGGTCTTTAACTCTATTTTATTGACAAGTTGGAATTTCTTAATTTTAATACACTGGTGGACACGGAATTTTGGACATCAAATTTATGTCACTTTAAGAAATGTCAATGTAAGCCATGCTTTATTGTCATTAGATTGACGTTTGAAACTAAAATTTGAAACTTTTAGTTGAAATTTATTTTTGGCGTCGATTTTCCGAAACAATAATGCCAGCAATACGTGTTTTTATATAAGATCAATAAATTATTTTGATTTGTTGTCATTTTTTCTCTTGCTCTCAGGATAAAAATTACAAAAACCAAAAGTGAGGTTGGTTGCCTAAGGCCCGTTTTACATTTTTATGTCAATCGTCCAAAATTCCGTGTCCGCCAGTGTAATATAAAAATTACCAGACGCCATGTGAAAACAAAATATCAATTGTCAAATGAAATATTTCTAATATTTAAAGGAAGACCGCAGGGTGCAAAATGCATTACTCTGTAATAACAATTTTGCTTTCTGTAACAAGTTATAATTCAAAACTTACTGTTGTATTTACACAACTTTAAAAACTTAAAAGTACCAGATTTTCGAAATTTAGAGACTCACTCTCTCAATCATGATAAACTGTGTTCACGACCGCAGACTGGACTTCGGTTTTTAATAAAATCAATCAGGATATTTAATAGAATTTGTAATTATTCAAGTAATTCAAAAGAAAAATTGTAACAATACGTAAATGTGACGAAACAATATCGGCAATAATGTTTTTTTCAAGTAATAGTACACTACAAGCGATGTGGTAAATATGGCATTATTGTTTATATGGCCATTACCATCGAGGTTTGTATGCTATTTTATTCACAATCACATTATTTTCAGTCAAAAATTTGAGCAAAATAAAATTCTAACAAAGTTAAGGTCCAAACGTGGTAGGCCATCCAAATGGCGTTTGATTTTTGACATTTCAAAAATGTCAAAGAAAATATTGAAATAATGTGTGAATCTGAATTAAAATCGTCGAAATGGGGCAGTGCATACCCCCAGAAGCAAGAGAAACTGCTACAAAAGCAATTGAATACTAATTTAGCAAAATATTATGCGTAACTTGACAATTTGAAAGAAAAAATTCCCGGTATTTTTGTAATTTTAAGGTTGGCTATCCTGCATATTACCGCCCAAGAGAAGTAATATTATTATTTCTCATGAGATTTACTGATGTGTTTCCCAACCTTTAAAAAGTTAGTAATTGGCATATTACATTAGTGATTTTGGCCGTCAACTGATAAACAAGCAATTCTCGTAAAAACGTATCATAATAAACATTTTGTTTACTTGATTTACGCCGCGCTTCCTCAACTCAAAAATGCATCAAGAAAATTAAAATGTCATAAACGTCAAAAAAAAAATAATAAATGCCGATCGTCCCGCTTGCTAACACACAAGACTCACCGCGGCGCCTCGACGCCGTCGTCTTCGTCCGTGTCTCCAGCGTGCGTTGGTCCCGTCGTCACGACGCGTCGAAATGAGTAATCAGCGTCGTAATTTTTCCAGTGTGCATCCGGCCGCGATGTAACTGCACGGGCCGTGTGCGACGGAGAGAGGCAGAGAAGCGAGAATGAAAGCCTTTGGACGTTTACGGGGGGTTCCGTGCACAGCGGGAGGGGGGTTGGCAAGCAATCGGACTGACACCAAGCCTAGGTCCGGCCATCTTGTGACGGCAAGCGCTCTCGTCCGCAAAACATCCCCCGATTCGCGAAATTCAACGCGATAACGCGACCAAAACACCCCAAAAAGTGCCGACGAGTGCCCCCGTGCCAACGCCGACTCCAGCACGTGGTGCACAACACGCAAGAAGCGCCCAAATCGCGAGCTTCGTTTTTACACATGAGTGATACATTTTTGTGACTGTGAACACTTTCGGATAAAAACACACTCTAATTACCACTAAGGTGAGTTCTTACGACCGAAAACGCAGCCCACTGAGAGCGCACTTTTCGGACAATGTTTGTTTATCTTTGTGATAAGCGCCCCAACAAGCCGAATTATCACTTTATTACGATTTTTAACTCGAGTCTGGCCTAAATATGCTATTTTATGTAACAGCTGCATACACGTACAAATAGCGGTACTAAAACAACGTTCTTTCATTGTGTCTTCTTCCTACTTCTTCTAGAAAAACAATTGAACAGTTGCCACAGGTAATTAGATATGACGAGCGAAATTGCCCCGTCCATAGTTACCTTAACTTTATTTTATTATTTATTCGATAAAATAACCCTGCTTTCACCAATTACTTTAATGCAAGAATAGCGTAATTATCGTCAATTCTTTGTTGCATTTTCTCATTATAAAATAAACGAAATTCCGGGATTTCGAATCATAAATCCCTTTTTACTCCCATATTTTCTTTAGAGCCAATAAAATTCACACTCTTTACTATAAATAGCCAGAATTTAACCCGGCTTTGTCTCTTATTATTATTATTATTTTTTCAAGACTGGTGCTTTTTTTAACCCAAGTAAATCAAAATTGGTCATTAGAATTTGGGTCAAGATGGGTCAATGAACCAATTTTTGAAAAATTGAGGTGTCGTGAATTATAGCCCAATTATTATCACGTCGATAAGTTTCAAGGTTTCTTCTCTCGATTTTTATTTCTTTTGCTTTAAAACAGCAGTAGCAACAGAATTGTGAATATGTATGAAGTTGATCCAGATTTAAAATCTTTATTGATATTGAAATCATGAGACCTTCAATTGATAATTTTAATCCGAGATTAAAATTGAGGTGATAATCGGAAAATTACCTATTCGTAGGTAGTGGCATTTGGGTGATCACGTGAACGAATTAGATTGACCTGATCTTTATTTCTTCGAGAAGACCAAACGGATGTTCACCTTTAACTTACAGGAAATCTCTTACTGATTACCTAATTTAGAATTTCTGTTTCATCCTTACTATACCAATTTTTTTGGTAAAATTGGAATTATTAAAATTTGATTCCAATTAAATATCCATAGTGTTACAAATTTTTAAGGAAATAAGCCACTTGAACAAGGAAATGCAAAATTGACCTTTTTTAAAATCTTGTTCGTCCTCAAGAATGTTAAAAATTTGAACATTGGTATCTTATGAATACTAGAAAGGTGTGAAAAATATGCCACATATTTTTTATGTTTTTTGTAATTTTTATTGTTTTTCTGTCTATTTTGTGTAAAACCTTTCCGTGCGGTGTTATACTTAAAAAATGAAATACATATTTTGTTTGATAATAGTTGGCCATGGAAAAACTGTTTCACTGCAAATGTGTAAATAATAATCAATAAGAGTTTTGTGAACTGTAAAATAGATGAAAAAATAGATAAAATTATAAAAATTTAAAAAATGCGATACGTTAGAAGTATTGAACAAATATGCGAGCACTTCAGAACACAATTATTACTTATTTTTAAAAAATCTAAAAATAGGAAAAACAAATGAGTCAACAGTCAACATAATTAGAAAAAACATTTTTTGATGATCTAATGGAGGTAAAATAACGTTCCAAATAGACGGAATTTGGGTATTTGAATAGCCACATCGTCATTTTTGTGTCATATAAAATATATTTTATTGAAGAATTAAAGCGGCTTTTTTTGCAACACTCTATGTATCACTAGAAGTTACAATGGTAATGTTAGCTTGTTTAAAAATAAAGAAATGTTATTAGTCGCCAATAAGTTGATTTACGATTTATTTTGCATTTTTTTAATTACTTAGTACATAGAAAACTCTTTCATTAGTGACACTGGTTGAATAATATAGTTTAAATCTTTTTAGTTGAAGATGCAACATTTTTTCATGGTCAATTGCGAACAAAAATCAAAGATAATTTTTTGCTAAAAATTATAATTTGTTACAAATATATATTTTTTAGATAAGAAAAAAAACAAGCTTTTTAAAAATCACATAGCCATCTATGATTCCCATTTAAAAAAATACAAGTTTATTTTATTACGACTAAACAAACAACTAGAAAAAATTGTCAACTACATTATTAAATTCTACGTAAAAAAGTGCCTGTCTTTATTTCAAATCTGTGTCTTCTATAATAACGAAGATATGATTTTTTTTAGATTTCGCTAAAATGTCAATTTATAGCGGGATGCGGTTTTGACCAATATTATTTTTTCAAAAAATGAGCCCCAGAATGTATATCACTCGTTTTTCTCTAAACCTCTTAGTTTCGGACATCCAAAATGCAGCACCCTGTACATAATTGGGGTAAGAGTAAATCGATTATGTAGTTACATAATCGTAACAGTAACAGTCGCCAGTAAGCCTTGTAAATACATGACAATAACACTGCCATTTGGTCGATTATATGTGTCCTTAATTACCATAAATGGGCTTTGGGCGTTAAAATGGAGAAGAAAAATCTTAAAATTGAATGAATTAATTGAAATAATTCGAATTGTTTTTATCAATTAAAAATACAAAGAGAGAAGCGCAACAAGAGGCATTATAAATTTAAACGTGTTCAGCAAATAAAGAAATCGATACAAATGAATAGAGCTCGTCGATTCCCCCACCGGCAGCCATTCTGTTTGTAAAGACAGGCCGGGAGTGCCATCGTTTATGCCCAAATACTGCTAAGAATGGGAGATTTAATCTCGCTGCGTTGAAATTGATAAAATACGCACTTGGGTCATGTCAAATTAATTAAAATGTGATAGTGTGTAATCAAAATCCAAGGTCAAGCAACCAAAATAAAAATAGGGACTTCCTGTCTTGTTCTTATTGTCCAAAGCCGTGTGGGTGTTTCACCGAATCGTGATTTGATAATTAGAATAAAAAACTGGTTTGTAATCAAGGCTAGTTTTTCGCACACCGATTGTAAAACAGATTCGTCACTTGATCATTCTTTGGTTAATAGCAGAGGTTCGTGAGATGGAAGCCGCGTTGCTCTCTCTCTCTCTCTCTCACACTCGCATACATATTTATACTTTTTACGAGCGGCATCCGTCGATAATTCCTCGCATGGGTCATTCTTCGAGACCCAACCAGCGCAGCGTTCCATTCTTTCCATCCGTCGAAATGTCAAGCAACAGCAGCTGCTTGGTCTCGAAGAAAGCTGCCATATTCGTAACAAGGTAGGCCGATTGCAAAGCGTATGAGATTCTTCCGGTTTTGTAAAAATAACCGGAGTAAATATTTTTATGAGAGACTAGCTCTTGCCCGCGGCTTCGCTCGCGTGGTAGTTTGACATCCATAACTATTTCAAAACGCAGAAGGGCTAAGAAACCCACTAACAAAATATAGCAACACATAATTTATTATGAACTTCGTAGTAAAAATAAAAATTCCGTCTTTTATAACTTATTTAAAAACCGTAAAATTTTAAGTCTTATTTCATGGATATTACTTAACAATGACAAATTTTGATACAAATTTTTATTCCATGTTTAACTATACATATTTATACAAAGTTTCATCCTTTATTTGACCCCCTTAGCGATAGAATTATCCAAAATCTTGAAACACGTGCTATATTGTTTTTAACTGAACACCCAAATACCAATTTTCATAGATTTAACTTTAAAAAAACGGATATTTTACGAAGTTTTACCCTTGTTCAACCTCCTTGAGGGTGAAATTTCCAAAAATCCTGAAACACTTATTACTTGATTTTTAATCGAAAGCCTAAATACAAATTTTCAAGGATTTAACTTTATAAATGACATATTTTAATACAAATTGTCATCCCTGTTTAACCCCCTAGAGGGTGGAATTTTCAAAAATCCTAAAACACGTGTTTCTTCATTTTTAACCGAAAGCCCAAATCCCAATTTTCATAAATATAACTTCAAAAATGATGGATTTATAAATATTTACACAAATTTTCATCTCTTGTTTGACCCCTTTGGGGATGAAATTTTCCGAAATCCTAAAACACGTGTTTTTTTGTTTTTAACTGAGAGCCCAAATACCAATTTTCATGAATTTAACTTTTAAAAAAAATACAAATATTTTACGATCTTTTACCCTTGTTCAACCCCCTTGGGGGTGAAATTTCCAAAAATGGTAAAATACGTATTTTTTTATTTTTAACCGAAAGCCTAAATACCAATTTTCATGGCTATAGCTTTAAAACTTCGAATTCACCACCCCATTTAGCCCCCTTAGGGGTTGATTTTCCAAAAATCCTTTCTTATTGGATGCCTACGTTATAAAACGTATCTTCTGTGAAAATTTGAAATTTCTGTCTCCAGCGGTTTAGGCTGTGGGTTGAAAGGTCAGGTCAGTTAGGACAAGCCTCTTTATATACAGAGTGAATATAAAGTATAGAACTAAGCGGTTTTATTTTCGATCATTTGCCTCCAGAAAAATATAATTAATATAAATTAGAGTAATATAAAAAATGTGATCGTATTTTCAGAACGAAATTTTGTTTTGTTTTTGAGTTACGCGATTTTTTTTTTGGAAATTTCGAAAAATTTTATTCTTGTTAAATCATCACATTTTTATAGTACTTTATCATTCATCAATTAGTTTTTTCAAAAAATAAATAATTTAAATAAAAAACGTTTGGTTCCATACTTTTTATTCACCTGGTATACAGATAGATTAGCTTGCACCCGTGACTTCGTTCACGTAGATTTTCGATATTAACTTTTGTTAATTTCAAAGGTGGAATGTAAAGTTAGTCTGTTTATCTATTTTTTTCTTGATTCAACTAAAAACAATGCGGGAGCAGAGATTTTTAAGAAAATGATGAAAGCACGTTACAAACACTTACACCCCGTTTCACCTCGTTGAATTTTTGATTACACCCTCAAAAGTCAAAATTTTAGATTTTATGTTTATAATTTCGTTTAAATGTCTACACTTTATTTCATCCCGTTATAGGTTGGTTTTTGAAAAGTGCCTGATTAGTGCACTTCACTCTCTAAGAATTATATTTTCCAAATTTTATCTT